CATGCATCGCATAAAGAAAAGACTTAGAACCCATAGTGTGATTGTAGGGCAACTTAGCACGATTTTCAGAATTTGTCTTTGATAGTAAAAAAAAATTGTATTAGAACAACAACTTACTCATTTATATTGCATTAAAAACGATTAACATCACTACAACATATATTGTTTACCTGGAAGTTTTAATCCTTGTAGACATGTTCTATTATATAAATCTAATCATTTTGACTAACTTCTCGATAAGGCTTACTTTTTTGGTCCACCACATATTACACCAATCTAATGTAATACTTGTGCATCCTGCACCAGTAATGACTATACAACTTAGCAAATTTTTTGTCAATGAATTTCGAAGCACGATCAAATTCACCATACCCTACAACATTAAACTTAGTATGCACGAAAAAGTAGTATATCATTTCAAGAAAAAAAATATATATATGTTAACTAGAAATATAAAAAAAAAATTTAATTACCAAGGGTCTTGCAATGATATGGGCATGTTGTTCAACAAGTAACTCGTGCCATTGGGTTACATCCCTGATTGAGACAAAACTCTTAGCTAGAGTTCCAATCTCTATAATAAAACATTGTGCATTTTCGCCAATAGGAGAACCCACACTTGTGGGGATCTCAACACGTAATTTTTTATGTGCTGCTAATAACTTCTCTATAGCCTTTCCTTAGGTAAGACCTCGACCTCGTCTTGAGGTCGACTCTGTCAAACACAAAACAAAATTGAATAATATAAAATAGTTTAGATCCAACTTAAGCAAAAAATATTATACATTTGTTGCTATCTGCAGTATGTGTACTAGGCGTAATCGATATCAGTGAACCAATCGTCCCACCAGATGGCACATCCGAACGTGTAGGTGCAGATAAGCAGAGTTTATGTTTCAGAGGCATATGTGTCATGTTACATTAAGATATATAGGTGATTAAGCAAATATTTAATCATAAATAAAATAAATAAAAAATAATAATAATTATATCATCACCTAGTAAATTTGCCTAAAATATTCTACATATCTAGATCAACATCAGATTCAAAAATGCTTTCATATCTTCTTTAGAATTATCATACTCTAATAGTGTCTCATCATCATTATCACAAATGAAATCATCATCGATATTATCATCTTGTCTGTTTTCAGATGTCATAACCCATTTACTTGGAAAAAGCACAGGATCGAGCTGAGTCCTACGAAATGGGTAGGAATCACGATCTTGAACTACTATAGGAACACCCTCAGTGGTTTCATCTTGTTGAAACGCATCCCTTAAACCAAAAATTTCATCATAATCTACTTCTACGTCAGGTAACTCTGCTATATCCCATATGTCTTCATACTTAGTGTCATTAACATAGAAGAATTGTTGCACCTGACTAGGTAGGACAAATAGATCATCTTTGTATCAACGACGTCTAACATCAATACTTGTGAGATGTGCATCAAAATGGACTGTTTTTCCCTTAGCAAGATTGAACCATTCAAATTGGAACAAAACAACACTATATCAGAAAATTTAACTCATTTCCCATACTTTATATAAATAACCGTAGTAGTCAATTGTTTCGTTTTCATGATCCCCTTCAATAACTAATCCACTATTTTGGGTTTTACGACGGCTATCATGATTTTTGGTGTGAAATTGGATTCCGTGGCATATGCAACCCGAATACATTCTAACCGTAAAATCATGACCATTTGCTAATGACCATAATTCATCAGTAGCTTCAGTTGAACCTTCAAATTGCAATTAATTGATCTACAAAGATACCATAAGGAAAAAAATATTACCATTTTTTCACTAAAACATACAATGGACTACACTTTGTTTTTCATAAATTATGAATTACTCAATTTTCAAACTACTTGGGAAATTCTTATTGATGCCTTCTATGAATGTCTTGTTCATTTTGCTCTCGCAATAGATTTTCGATCGCTTCTCATACTTACCGTCAAACAACTTACTCCGACGCCAAGCATGCTCTTGAGGCAAGTAATGACGATGTCCCATGTAGCATATTTTACTTCTCAATAGTTGGGATGATGTATCGTAGATACAAATTGAACATGCCATTTAACCCATTGTACTTCACCCAGACATGTAACCATAAACAAGAATGCATCATAAATTACTACCCCCAACTTCCCATAGTTCTTTCAACTCATTGATTAACGACCGCATATAGACATCAATATCTTTCCCAGGGGATTGCGGACCGAGAATAAGCAATGATATCATGAAGTATGGATCTTTCATACATTTCCATGGAGACAAATTATAGGACATAAGTATGATGGGCCATATTCTATATTCGTTGTTCATGTTTCCAAAAGAGTTAAAACCATCGGTGGCTAACTCTAATCTAACATTACGTGGATCTTGAGTGAAGACAGGATATTTTAAATCAAATTCTTGCTATTCTAGAACATCGAAAGGATGCCTTGATCCATTCTCATCATCTACATACTTATCCTTGTGTCATCTTATATTAGTTGCAGACTTCCTTTACATATAACCTCTGCAATCTTGGTTTCAATGGAAATAACACAAGATCTTATGAGGAATCTTCTTACCCTTGCCATCATTAACCCTGTATCTAGATTCTCAACATGTAGGACAATTTTCTCAATTTTTATTCTCTTTCCAAAATAATGCACAATCATACTTACATGCATGAATAGGAACATATCCCAATCCCAAAGCTCGTAAGAACTTTTTAGCATCATAAACGGATTTTGGAAGTATGTTACCTTTTGAAAGAAGAACCTTCAATATCTCCAACATGTTAAATGACTTATTGCTCCACTTGTTCAATTAATTTGCATGAAGTAATTTTACAACTACTGATGGCAGAGTAAATTCTGTGCGTCCTGGATACACCTCACATTGAGTATGCTGCACTAATTTTTCAAACTTCTCCACATCTTCTTTATCACCACAATCACCAGTTTCGCCAAAATTCGATTCGCCCCAAATAGTATCCATGAAAGTCCCTATGCCCACATCTTCTAACATATCAAGTAATTCATCACGATCATCAGCTTCAGAGTTTGTCATGTCATCTTGGAGAGTTTCACCGATATTATTATCCTCATTGTGTTCATTCGAAGGGACAAGTTCCCCTTGGTCTACCTACACTGTGTAAGAAGTCATAATCTCTTTCCAGCACAAATGAATTTCCACAGTTTCTTCAGTATGCCATTCAAGATTCATACAATTTTTACATGGACATTTAATTTTTCCATTTTGTCCCATTTGTGGCATTGCGAATCTAATGAACGACTTCACCCCATCAATATATTACTTACTCGATCTTTTCCTAACTTTCATCCAACTATTATCCATTTCAATTAATGTACTTACGAAACTATATTTTTTTTAACTAATTAGATGGAGAGACACTAACTAAAATAAAGGTATATCCATTCCTGAACTATCCGAAACTAGACAACTTAAAAAATCATATCACCAAAAAAATATTCTGTAAATACAATTAAACTTTTAAATAATTCTAATATTTTATGCACAAAAAAATACATTATAGATATTAACATATATGCTTCACTAAAAGTATCTCGATTGATTTAAACACAATTAAACTTTCTAAAATTTAAACATCCAATATGTTCAACTCAATTGTCTAAGAGTAAATTTATCACATTACACAAAATTTATAAATTTATCACATCTATCTTAAACAACATGAAGTTGGAATTTATCACATTCGGATCAAAATCATGAAATTGAAATTGAATTCATTTAACTTCCATGAAAACGAAATCATTTAAATTATCATAAATTAAAATCAATTAGGAGCTTTATTGATTAAAAAATTTATGAAATATAAATATAAATTAAACTTTAATACGACAATTATAAAGGGACAAAGTTTTACCTAAAGGTCGCAAAAGAGGCAAAGATTCACTCATAAAAAGATAAATAATCACCTGAATATCATAAGAACAAATCTATCATCTGTTGTCCGACTAAGTGTGTATGTGTTTGTAAATTGATTGTATAGGGTGTGCTCGTGTGTGTGCGTGAGCTGAATCATAATGGTCTACTTCAAAAGATAAACACAAAGCCAAATTATTTACAAAATTATGTAACTTAATCCATACCCATAGCCCAAAATCATAAAAAAGATGAAATGAGTTAAGAAAAGCAAGTACAAATGAATCCAATCTTTTAGCAATGTCAATTACAAGTTTTACAACTACAACTATTTCGGTAATAGTAATTTGAACTTAAAAATTGACCTAATTATGTGACTTCAATAAAACTATTGAATCAATGTCAAGTTTTAATGTTTAATGAAATTCACATTCAATTCAAATACCACAGTAAATTAGCTCAACTAATTAGGTGAATAAATTAGATCCAAATAGCATTACTCTTTCAGAAAAACAAGAATAATGCACACAAAAATTCAATTTCACTCAGCCAATTGCAAAGATCAAGCACAACTCAACAAAGAAATTCAGTTTAATCCATACACAACAAATGAATCCCCAATTCAAGTAAAAATTTTATAAAGTTTTTTTCCAAACCCACATCACAAATAATTAATCCTTGCCTAGAACCCCTATTCTGCAATAAACCAAACAAACAAATTTCAAATTTAGGAAATAACTTGAACCCATTAAGCTGGGTGGATGGGTGTGTGTATGTGTGAGAGAGAGAGGAGAGAGAGAAAGAGAGTGAATAATGGGGGTTTTATAGAAAAGACGGAGGGGAGGGGCCAGTTTGGGGTTTGTGTGCTTCTAGCAGATAAAGGGGAGGCAAAATCGAGGGTTAGGGTGGGGGAAAATAGAGATGGTGGAGGGAATGGGCTTGGGGGTTGGCTGGATTTTGGTGAGCGTGGTTTGCGTAGAGAAGAGGGGGAGAGAGTGAGAATCAGAGAAGAGGGAGGGGATGGCGCTGTGGCTGAGGCACTGTGGCGATGTGGCTGAGGCGCTGTGGAAGTATGGCTGAGGCACTGTGGCGCTATGGCTGAGGTATTGTGGTAGTCGGCTGAGTTGTTGTGGCTGAGGCGCTGTGGAGGTGTGGTTGTTTGATAGTGGATGGATTTGTGGGGGAAAGTTATTGGTTTTGGTTGCTTGACGGGTTCTTGTTGGGTAAGGCTTTGGTTTCTTGATTGTAGATAAATGAAACCCACTATCAGAGACAGAGAGAAAGATAGAGAGAGAGAGAGTGTGTTTGTGTGTGTCAGTGACAGTGATAGTGCAGAATTGGTAGGTTAGTGAGGTTAGGATTAAGGATTGGGGATTGGGATTATACATATAAAATAATGATATGGGTATTATTATGTGTGTGTTCCTGTGAGCGAGAGAGATAGAGAGAGAAAGAGAGAGAGAGAGTACCTTTCCACTTTTTGGGATCACCAGCACATAAGCTTTGTTGCTGAGAGATCAAAAGATGCGGGTAAGGAAGAAGAAAAAAAAAATAGTGTCGAAGAAAAGAAGGGAAAAATGGGAGGGAAAGGGGGAGTGTAGATAAGCCGAGAGGATTGGTTTTTTTTTTTTCGTGACAACAAATATTTGTTGCTAAATTATTTATTTTTTTAAAAAAAAAATAAATTTAAAATTTTATTAGCGATCACAAATTAATGGCTGCAAAAAAAAAAAATTGTTTTGGCAATGATTTAATATTGTCACTGAATAACAGCTCTCTTAAGTCAGTCATTAAATAAAAAATTATTTGATTTGTGATGACTAAATTCGTTGGCAAAAAATAAACTCCTATTGGTGCCAAAAATGGCCAATGACGGGAATTCTTTTGCAACACATTTGGTGACAAGTATAAATAATTGTCGCCAAATTTTTTTTAATACTTTTTGGCGACGAGATGTAATATTTGTCGTAGAATGTTATTTTTTGCAACAAGTTTTCTTACACATTGTAAAAAGTTGTCGCAATAAAATATTTTTCTTGTAGTGTGAAGAGTTAGGTCATACCTTGACTGAAGATCTAGGTCAGACCTTGGGTGAATATCCATGTCGTACCTTGGCTGAGGAGCCAGGTCATACCTTAGCTGAAGAGCTAGATCATACCTTGGGTTGGTCGTGTCTTGGGTGAAGACCTATGTCATACCTTGGGTGAAGAACCATGTCATACCTTGGCTGAGGAACTAGGTCATACATTGTCTAAAGAGCCAGGTCATGCCTTGGGTGAAAACCCATATCATATGGAAGAAGACCCATGTCATACATTGGCTAAAGAGCTAGGTCATACATTGGCTGAATATCTAGGTCATGCCTTGGGTGAAGAGCCATTTCATACATTGGCTAAGGAGCCAAATCACACCTTAGCTGAAGAGCCAGGTCATGCTTGAGTGAAAACCCATGTCATATAGGTGAAGACCAGTGTCTTTTCACTTTTATGTGTGAATATGCTTATTATCCTTCACTAAATAGTATAAGGGCCCATGACGAGCGGATTAGCTCTAAGGTTGGACTGGTGGAGCTGTTCAGTCGAGCTGGTGGATGTGTTTAGTAGTGCTAGTAGTTGCCTAGCTGAGCTGTTCGGATGAGTTCGAAAAGTAGTGCCAAGTTGTTGGCCTGACAATCAAAGATAGTGCTAGAGCTGCTCGAACCTAGGCAACTTTTGTTGAGCCCAATTGCTTCAAGCAATCCGATCTCTCAATAAGTACATTTTAGAACCATTTTTACCGATTAGAGTGGAAGCGAGAAAAAAGATTCTTTTTGAAGATCAAGAGTTAGAAAGTTAAAGGCCATCCCTCGGATGATGGACTTCATTACTCATAAGGTTGAGCTTAGTAGCATACTCCGAGTAGCTGGTGACAAGCCGACCACTTCTTTTTGCAACTCTTTGCACTTTTAACTCGAGCATAGGGAAGCTTGCACTAGGATAGATAGAAATTCCGAATGGCTTTACCATTGTATCCAGATATTATGGAAATTCTTGAGAATAATTTGCCAAGAAATTCGAGGGGGTACGCCCTCTTGATTGATTATCAAGATTTTGGCTCTTTCTTTTGTCTTGAATTATCGGTCAATCATTAGAGATTTAATTTAGAACGATGAAAATTATTCCCACAGATGACGTCAAATTGATGGTATAAAAAATCATGAAGTATGCAATGGAGTGTCGGATGAGCTCTTGGCAGGTATGTCGTGTGTGTGGAAAAATGAGTGAGAATACACAAGAAAATAAGTGGTTCACCACCTGAAAAGCTTGGCTAATCCATTGTAATAGAGGTTCTTACTCTTTGGTCGTATATTGCTTTTCTGAAGAAGGATAGTATAATAGGGTTTTTTTCCTTGTTTGAGAGCCCTTTTTTCACAATGATCATTGCCTTTTATAAAATAATATTTATTTAGGAAATATTCAGAGAATATTTGGTGTGACTTATTGCCCAAGGTATGGTTTGATGGTGAAAACCCTTTTTTGCCCCTTCTGGTAGTTTCTGTATTACTTGTCTTCTAGAATTCCATTGCCTTTTGTATATTGTTCGGTATCAACAAATATAAAACCCTATGATGTTTTCTAAGCGAAAAAGAAATGTTTTGAAATGATCTTTCTGATCAAAAACCGTAGGAGCCTTTGGAAGAAAAACCTTGATAGATCAAATCTAGAACCCACTTTTTCTACTTGATTTTCAAATCAACAAATTCTAGATATTTTCACTAGAGGTTTGCTCTCTGTTTGGTATAAGTGAAAGTTAGATGGATAAAAAATTGAGCATGAAAAATAGTAAGGAAGGAAAGATTTTCAACCGTTTGGTTTGAAGGGAAAAAGGGGTGGAAGGGAAAAGTGGGGGGAGAGACTATCCATCCTGCCCACCAATTTCAATCTGCACAATTTTGGGAGGAAAATTGCACAGCAAAGCTGTAAAGTGGGTGATTTTGAAGTAATTTACCAGAATATCTTTCTATTTAACATGTCTTTTCAGTTTAGAGTTCCCTATGCCAGTATATGTTTAGACTAAAAAACCAATGAGAACCACTTATTCAATTTGGTCGGCGTTAATTAACTCCCTTTAATTGGGTTTGAGGCCTATTTTACACTTCAATAATTGTGTTTTAATTTTATTTTTTCGTCTGAGTGTTTTAAGCAACTATCAATGGAAGTATGAAAATTATTTCCTTCATTTTTTTTTATCAGTGAGACCAAATATATCTTTTTTTTTTGTCTATGGATTATTGACCAATGAGAAACGTGTTATGTTGATATAAAAAATTTATTTGTTATCTCCTACCAAATGTATTATTTTAAAAAATTTATTTGCTATAGAAAATTTGTTTTTCATAAGTAAGGGTACAATGGTAAATTTATTAGATACATATTGTTTTTCCTTTTATTTTTCCTCTATTACCAAACAATGAAAAATTCATTCCTCCAATTTTCTATCCACTATACCAAACAAAAAAGAGAAAAAGTATTTTTCTTTCCTCGAAAGATGAAAAATCTATCCCTCCTAATAAGTCAATGAATAATTTAATTTGATTGTTTTGGTATATGATTTGTATTTTTTGGATGAACTAGGTCATTAAATTTTTAATTGTTAGTTAATTCTGCATAAAAAATATTCAACCCCTTCTCTAGGTCCATTTAGGATTTATTAGACATGGACCCATGCAACCTCAATATTGTCTAAATAATTATACTAAAATTAATAGGGCATCATCCAAATTTTTTTGACTTAGGTTCCAAATTATATTGGGCTCCCTCAGATTGGGCAAGAAGTGCATAGTAAAGGGATATCAAACTTGAAGAATATGTACTTACCAAAATTTTGTTTTTAGAATAATGAGTATTAGCTCTAAAACATTGTGAAAAAAATTAAAAATTTAAATGAATAACTTAGATTATCACGAAAAAGAGAGAATAAGAACTTACTCTAGAAAAGTTGGACTGATATTTATAGACTGTTTTCTACATTCTATATTTATGTCACATTCATCAGTATGATTCTGATTGGTGATAAATTGTACAAAAATAAATTTTACAAACAAATGTTATGATTATAGAGTTTAAGAATTTTTGAGAATAAATTATAAAAAATAAAAATTAATTGTCCTAAGATAAATATGATAAGACTTAATGATTCTTTGTGGAGAAAAATAGAACATATGGATAATTTTTTTATTAAAAAATTAATTATCCTGACTATTTAAAAAAATAATACAAATATTTCATAAATGGACACTGTAAACTACTCTCTTCCTTATGGGGAAGACTATGGTACAAATGGCCATGCCATATCGAAATTTATAATTTTTTTAAGTTAATTTACAATTTTTTGAGGTATAAGAGCATCTCTGATTGTTACCTATTTCTAGACCTCAAATTAAATTGGAGTATAAATAGTTCAAATACTTTTTTCAACCTTATATTTAAACTTATACCAAATAAAAGAAAATACAATTACAAACCTAAATCAAGAGAAACTGAAACTTTTTCCCCAGTTGTAACGGTAAAATCCTACCCCAATCACTCAATTTGTGAAAAAGGTCATAAACTTCCCTCTTCTCTGTCTAGTTCCCCCATCATCATGGTCAACCATGGAGACCCAAAAATCTAGCCATGCATGTTGATCCATCACTTGGAGACATTGGACTTTCTTTCATATTTTCTTAGCTGAAATTTGAAGTTGTAAGAGGATAAAAACAACGTTACTCATAACCTTTGCGAAAGTGTTGTCCCTTTCTGTAAACCCTCACACTCTTATCTTTATATAGCACGTAATTATATTTTTTGAAATACTAATTTAAGTAATGGAGTATGCATGAACTAAGTAGATTATAAGAGTAGAGACACAAATGTTAATAGTATAGAATCGGGTAAATATTTAGTTTAAACTTACCTTCCGAAAAAAAAAATATTTAGTTTAAACTTAGTTTTGCCTTGTAAATATATGAAATCGTTTGCAATAGAACTTATACCAACTATGTTTGATGTACAAATGTATATTGTATAAGTTTGAGTTGGTTTTGGAAGGGTTTAGAACGGATTGAAAATGAAAAACAAAGGAAATAGACAAAACTGAACAGACCGTACTGGTATGCCCGGAAGTTACCATACCGGTACGCTAATTTCCAGAGAGTTTACCGTATCGGTATTATGTACCGATATGCTCTGTAAGTTCCAAACATTTTAAGTTGTGATCTGGGGTCCATTTTTCACCCTATAAATACATAATGACGCCTTCATTAGCCCAATTTCAACATTTTAACCCTAGAAAGTCCTAGAGAGGAAGAAAGGAGGAGAAAAACAAAAGATTAAGAGTGGATTCAAGTTGGGGAAAGATCAAATCTCAAGTTCTTCACACAAAAACCAAGGAAGAAGGTAAGGGGTTTTCTTCCATTCTTGTCCATTGATGCTAGGGCTAATATATATATATTCTTTGACTCTAAATCTTATATATTTGCTATAAAATCATCTTTTCTTGGTCTTCTTGCAATTATTACCATGTTTTACACAAGTTAGGGTTGAATACCCATGAAATCTCATTTTCTTGATATAAAACCCTAGTTTTTAAAAGAGATGGACTTTCTTCTTGATTCTTCCTTTGTTCTTGACTTAGAAAACTTTAGTGCTTTGAGTTGAGTACTAAAATGATATTGATGATGATCTCTTGTATTTTCTTCACGTGCTCTATTGAAATACTACATGTGAAATTTGACTCATAACCTTTGCGAAAGTGTTGTCCCTTCCTGTAAACCCTCACACTCTTATCTTTATATAGCACGTAATTATATTTTTTGAAATACTAATTTAAGTAATGGAGTATGCATGAACTAAGTAGATTATAAGAGTAGAGACACAAATGTTAATAGTATAGAATCGGGTAAATATTTAGTTTAAACTTACCTTCCGAAAAAAAAAATATTTAGTTTAAACTTAGTTTTGCCTTGTAAATATATGAAATCGTTTGCAATAGAACTTATACCAACTATGTTTGATGTACAAATGTATATTGTATAAGTTTGAGTTGGTTTTGGAAGGGTTTAGAACGGATTGAAAATGAAAAACAAAGGAAATAGACAAAACTGAACAGACCGTACTGGTATGCCCGGAAGTTACCATACCGGTACGCTAATTTCCAGAGAGTTTACCGTATCGGTATTATGTACCGATATGCTCTGTAAGTTCCAAACATTTTAAGTTGTGATCTGGGGTCCATTTTTCACCCTATAAATACATAATGACGCCTTCATTAGCCCAATTTCAACATTTTAACCCTAGAAAGTCCTAGAGAGGAAGAAAGGAGGAGAAAAACAAAAGATTAAGAGTGGATTCAAGTTGGGGAAAGATCAAATCTCAAGTTCTTCACACAAAAACCAAGGAAGAAGGTAAGGGGTTTTCTTC